GGTTCTATGAGAAGAAATTCTGGTCTTCTAAAATATCATCTGTATTCTATAATAATCTACGAGAAGAAGTTCGTATATTTCATAAGAGGAACTATTCGTTTTCCATGCCAAAACATTCCAGAGATCTTCAACAATCTTCAATGGGGAGAACTTATGGTCTTCTACGAGAAGACTTCTGTTTTGTTACGAAAATACCTGAGAAGTCTTTCTTCTATTCTAAGAGAAGAACTTCTGGTTTAATATGATCGGAACTTCTAGTCCTCTATGAGAGGACTTTTTGGTCATTTATGAAAATATCTTTTGGTCTTTAGGATATTGTAGTTTTTATATAGAGCCTCAATGACGTCAATCTCTCGTAGTCTGTGAAACTCATTATTAGAGTCTACTTCGGTCTCGAGTCATTTTTATACCCTTCACCACACTGTGGTACAGGGTATTATGTCTTTGTGCATATGTTTGTAACAGGCAAAAATAATCGAGATAGACCCATGGTTCCTTTTGAAAATATGCATAGAATCACTTTCTGAGTCGATTTCCGCATGATCATCCGTCCGTCTGTCCATGTTAAATTGTAAGCAACGTACAGGTTGCATTTATGATCCGAATTGGATGAAATTTGGCACAGCTTATTTGTTTCGCCCAAGGACGAACCCTATTGTGAAAAATCGGTTCAGATTTAGATATAACTCCCATATATATTTTCGTCCGATTTAAGGTAAATGGTGTCCCAAAGTCCCCACATATCTTTCGATTTGCACGAAATTTGTCACAGCGTAATGAATAAGGTCTAGAATTATGTGTGCAAAGTTTCGTGAAAATCGGTTCAGATTAAGATATAGCTCCTATATATATATATATATATATATTCGCCCGATTTTATGTAATTGGTGCACCAAAGTCTCTATATATCTTTCGATTTGTACGAATTTTGGTGTAGGGTACTGAATTAAGTTTAGAATGATGTTGATAAGCTTCGTGAAAAGATCCGTAGATAGGCCGATTGACACAACGTACTAATATAAATTAAACTCTGGCAAATTTTCCCTGAAATCGGTTCAGATATTGATATATAACAAAAACGCGACGTCTGTTAGAATACATATGTAGAATATACCCGAAGTGGTGAAGGGTATCATATAGTCGGCCCAGTCCGACTTTATTACTTTCCTTACTGGTTTCCTCATACAGTGGATTCCACTGTGTCTATCACTTTTTTCAGAGATCCAATTGTTGACTTGAAAATTAAATTAAATATTAAATTAAATTTATTGTTGCCCTTCACAACTAATTGTTGCTAATTAAAGTCTAGATTTCCCTAAGATATTCCCTTTCACACCAAATAACTTCATTGAAACTCCACAACACCGAAGACATCCCCTGCGAATAAAATGCATAATTCATAATTAATAAAAAATAAAAACAGCAACCATTGCTCGCCTATTTCCACTCAGACATGGCAATTAAAAGTCCAACGAAATCTCGTCACGCATTTTGTAAGAATGCCCATTCAGAAGTTTACCCAATGCATTGCCAAATTCACCTCTCAGATTACCATACAGATGCAGACTCACAACCACCCATACACATTCACACTTTACACCTTCATTCATCAGCTGTAAGTTATGATTTTTTGTGACCAGACACAGCCGGCCATTCATTTTACTATTCCATTCATTGGATTTACAAATTCTCTCCCCTTGTGTTACGCTTTGCTGATTAACGCAATGAAGAGCAATCAGTCGCCGACCAGTGGTCATAGACGTTGATATTCACTCTTATTTGTTCATAGTGTGACATAATATTATGGAGCATTAGATCCGTAATAAAATTTGTTAATTTGTTTACGGGCCACATAGAATGCATTGTGATGTGCGGTGTATGTGTATTAGGTGGGGTCTAGTGGGTGCGATCTTTGTTTTTCAAAATTATAGATTGAGCAGAAAATCTTCTAAAGGGCTTTTATACACATTAAGATATATATATTCTGCAAACAGAAGAATACAGGATTTAAGACAGGAGACCGAATATATAAGGCCACAATATGCTGTGCGGGTGTTCTCCTTACTGAAGACTTTCTATAGGTTAATTATAAACGGAAAACCCTGTATTTGTCTATCATGATCAGAATACATTATACAGCTTCTGTTCTAAGCTGTAGACGCGTTTCAGATCCCCATAAAAAATAAGTGCCTTGTAAGGGTCCACTATGACTTTCAGGTCCCCTATAAAGAGACGACCTGCTACAGTAGACATAAGACTTTTTAAAATGTATTTTTTAGGAAATAGAATACTTCTGTAGGTCTGCCATTAGAAGACCTCATGGTAATTTATTAGAATATATTTTATGAGAAGGCATACTGGCCTCTTAGAAGAAGACCTGCTAGTCTTCTAGGGAGAAACCTATTGGATTTCTATTTTTCTTCTGGGAGGAGACCTACTAATCTTCTTCTAGGAGAAGACCAAATGGTCTTCTAGAAAAAGACCTACTGGTTTTCTAGAAAAAGACCTACTGGTTTTCTATGAGAAGAACTGCTAGTCTTCTTGAAGAAGATCTCCTGTTCTTCTTGTAAGTCTTCCAGTAAGTCTTCTTACTGATTTTCTACGATAAGACCTGTTAACATTCTATGTGAAGTCATACTGGTCTTCTAGGAGAAGACCTACTAGTCTACTAGGGGTAGACCTTCTGGTTTTCTTTTATGAGAAGAACTACTGGTATTGTAGGAGAAAACTTACTTATCTTCGAGGAGAAGAACTCCTGGTCTCCTGGAAGAAAACCTATTGACCTTCTATGAAAAGACCTTTTGGTCTTCTATGAGAAGATCTTCTGGTCTTCTAAGAGAAGACCTTCTGGTCTTCTAAGAGAAGACCTTCTGGTCTTCTATGGATAGACCTTTTGGTCTTCTGTGAGAAGACCTTTTGGTCTTCTATGAGAAGACCTTCTGGTCTTCTATGAGAAGACCTTCTGGTCTTCTATGAGAAGACCTTTTGGTCTTCTATGGGAAGATATTTTTGTCTTCTATGAGAAGACCTTCTTGTCTTCTATGAAAAGACCTTCTTGTCTTCTATGAAAAGACTTTTGGTCTTCTATGAGAAGATCTTCTGGTCTTCTAAGAGAAGACCTTCTGGTCTTTTAAGAGAAGACCTTCTGGTCTTCTAAGAGAAGACCTTTTGGTCTTCTATGAGAAGACCTTCTGGTCTTCTATGAGAAGACCTTTTTGTCTTCTATGAGAAGACCTTCTTGTCTTCTATGAGAAGACCTTCTGGTCTTCTATGGAAAGACCTTTTGGTCTTCTATGAGAAGACCTTTTGGTCTTCTATGAGAAGACCTTTTGGTCTTCTATGAGAAGACCTTTTGGTCTTCTATGAGAAGACCTTTTGGTCTTCTATGAGAAGACCTTTTGGTCTTCTATGAGAAGACCTTTTTGTCTTCTATGAGAAGACCTTCTGGTCTTCTATGAGAAGACCTTCTGGTCTTCTATGAGAAGACCTTCTGGTCTTCTATGAGAAGACCTTCTGGTCTTCTATGAGAAGACCTTCTGGTCTTCTATGAGAAGACCTTCTGGTCTTCTATGAGACGACCTTCTGGTCTTCTATGAGAAGAACTTCTGGTCTTCTATGAGAAGAACTACTGGTCTTTTATGAGTAGAACAACTGGCATAGCAAGAGAAGACCTACTAGTCTTTTAGGAGAAAAAGTACAGGTATTGTTGGAGAATACCTTCTGGTCTTCTAGGAGAAGGCCTTCTGGTCTTCTATGAGAAAAAGTACTAGTATTGTCATCTATTAGAAGACCTTGTGGTATTCTAGGATAATACCTATGAGAAGATCTACTAGTCTTTTATGAGAAGACATACTGTTCTTATATGAGAAGACATACTGTTCTTCTATGAGAAGACATACTGTTCTTCTATAGGAAGACATAATCTTCTTTTATGAGAAGATTTATTGTCTTCTATGAGAAAGCCTCCTGGACTACTTACAGAAGACCTTCTTGTATTTTATGAGGAGATTTTCTTGTCTTTTAGGTGAAACTCTTCTGGTTTACTATAATACGACATCCAGGTACTCCTATAGAAAGATCTTCAGGTCCTATTCTGGAGGTCTATCAGATGTCCTATGATAAGACCCTCATGGTTTTTATGAAAAGAACTTCCAAACCCCCAAAAGATACCCAGTCATCAATGAGGAAGTCCTTCGGGACTTCTATGATAGGGCTTCCTGGTCTTCTGTTTGATGGTCTCCGGGGCTTTTTATGAAAAGGCGATTTTGATCTTCTATTAGGGAACCTTGTCGCCTTCTATTGGAAGAATTCTATAAAAAACTCATCTTCTTTTAACTGGCCATCTGAAGACCTACCATAGGCAGGAGAAAGTCTTCTTTTTAAAGATGACCCCATATTCGGTATTATTTCTTTTGACGTTCCACGCCATTATTTACATTACATCAATCTCTTGCCACCTGACCGACATGCAGACCAACATTAAGATGACCATTTTATTGCGACGAATTGCCAAATAATTTTTCTTAGATATTGAAATTGAAACCCTTGCTATGGTTTTATGTTATTTGCCGCTAAGTGGCTGTGACTTTACATGTCAGCGGAAGGCTTCTGAAATGGAAGCAAATACAGTGAGGTCTAGTAAAACACAATAGCCATAGACGATTTGTTGCCTTTTCAACCAATAACAAAAACGATTTGAACCCTTCCGGTATTCTATGGGAGGAGCTCTTGTATTATATGAAGATCTCCTGTTATCGATGAAAAGACATCCTGTTTTCTATGATAAAACTTTCTGTCTATGAGAAGATCTCCCCATATAGGTGCCAGTGATTTATTCCCTTTTTTATCCAAAAGTTTAGGAATCAGACTTAATATTTACTCATCTTTCGAGTACCATCTGTGCTGCAAATAAATGTAAATCTAGGCTTAAGTAACTTTGTTGTTGGATAGCAACAGAAACAGTTAACAGCTATGGATTTTAGCCAACATCAACATCTGGCATGATAATTTTCAACAGCAAATCGTCGTCACAGTCAGCACCACCACCACCGCAAGCGTCATCGTTGCTGTCGTCGCAGTCGTCGTCACCATCATTGTAAACACTTCATCATACCTCCCACCCCCAAACATCCATCCATCCAATTAAAACTGACTGCTCTGCTCTATTTAATGTAATTCACATAAATTGCTCGGGTTATAGATGCCGACATAGAAGGGCCAAACCGACGGTCAAATCTTGGAGTTGTGTTGTTTTTTATAGACACTTACGTCACTTTCTTCTATGAAAGGGCCAACTGAGAGAGACTATCGCTGATAAAAAAAGTGAACGCGAATGTTGTGACCATTCGTCAGTAACTTAAAGTTGATTTACTTTTTAGTAAATTGTTGAGCACTTTGAAGGGGAACTTTTATTGGATTTTGTTTTGTTATTATTTTTGTTGGTTTTACTTTCAGTTTTCTTAGTTTAATGATAATTGAGGGGGTTTCTTCTCCAGACATAAAACTCTTTTCACTTTCAACTTATAGCACGCCTTTATTTAATGAGAGAGTTGTAATGAAGTGATTACTCGCTGCAGACGATGTAAACATCAACAGCAACAAACAATGGACACATGATTATCGATGTAATTTGTTGAGGTACAGGGAGTATGAAACCCATGGACAAGAAATTTCAATTTCATCAGAACGGTCATTAATACTACCCTCAGTCTTATGAATATCCCTCATTAGCCATAATGCCAATGGCTATGTTAAGTGTGTCTCACCGAAATAACAGGTTTAATTTGTATACCCTTTACTACACTGTGGTATAGGGTATTATGTCTTTGTGCATATGTTTGCAACAGACAAAAGGAATCGAGATAGACCCATGGTTCCTTTTGAGAATATGCATAGAATCACTTTCTGAGTCGATTTACGCATGTCCGTCTGTCCGTCCATGTATTTTTGTGTACAAAGTAAAGGTCGCATTTATTATCCGATTTGGATGAAATTTGGCACAGTTTACTTATTTGGCTCAAGGATGAACCCTATTGAATTTGGAGAAAATCGATTCAGATATAGCTCCTATTTATAGTTTCGTCCGATTTTATGAGAATGATGTACCAAATTCCCGAAATTTTTTCGATTGGGACAAAATTTTGCACAGAGTACTGAATTAGGTATAGGTTGATGTCTACGAAGTTTCGTTAAAATCGGTTCAGATTTAGATATAGGTCCCATATATAGTTTGGGCCGATTTTATGTGAATGGTGCATCAAATTCCCGAAATTTATCCGATTAGGACAAAATTTTGCACAGAGTACTGAATTAGGTACAGACTGATGTCTGCTAAGCTTTGTTAAAATCGGTTCAGATTTACATATAGTTTGATCCGATTTTATGTGAATAATGCAGCAAACTCCCAATATTTGTCCGATTGGTACAAAATTTTGCTCAGAGTACTAAATTTGGTCCAGACTGATGTCTACGAAGTTTCGTTAAAATCGGTTCAGATTTAGATATAAACGAATCCAAGTCACATGCATCATCACATGCAATTTTTCATTGATTTCAGATGGGTACGTGTATGGGGTTTTTTTCAATTGATTCAAATATCTATCTAGATAGCACATTTAATTTCGCCCGACTCCATCTCAATGGTCCTCCAAAGATTCTATGTCTGTCCTATCTACAGGATATTAATTAGATATTAACTTCTCTTGTGTGTACCCAAAATGGTGAAGGGTATCATATAGTCGCCCCGTCCGATTTTTTAACTTTCCTTACTGGTTTTTTTTTATAAAATTCGTTTCTGACAATTTGGAGTCGATTTACAAATGTCCATCTCTCTGTCTGGATGGTGCACACTCTCAAAGAGAATAACCGATTCCATTCATATTTGACACATCATAATATTTTTAGCAGACCTAGATCAAGTCTGAAGATCGGTCTGATCCGACCATATGTTTGTTTATAGAAAATCCTTGAAAATACGTGAAGTGTATATTTTTTTAAATATGTTTTGAAGGTCCTGAAAAAATATTCTTTAAAAATCCATTTGAAAAGTATTCTTTAAAAAATCCACGCCTTCTATAGGCCCTTGAAAAGTATTCTTTAAAAAATCCACGCCTTCTATAGGCCCTTGAAAAGTATTCTTTAAAAAATCCACGCCTTCTATAGGCCCTTGAAAAGTATTCTTTAAAAAATCCACGCCTTCTATAGGCCCTTGAAAAGTATTCTTTAAAAAATCCACGCCTTCTATAGGCCCTTGAAAAGTATTCTTTAAAAAATCCACGCCTTCTATAGGCCCTTGAAAAGTATTCTTTAAAAAATCCACGCCTTCTATAGGCCCTTGAAAAGTATTCTTTAAAAAATCCACGCCTTCTATAGGCCCTTGAAAAGTATTCTTTAAAAAATCCATGCCTTCTATAGGCCCTTGAAAAGTATTCTTTAAAAAATCCACGCCTTCTATAGGCCCTTGAAAAGTATTCTTTAAAAAATCCACGCCTTCTATAGGCCCTTGAAAAGTATTCTTTAAAAAATCCACGCCTTCTATAGGCCCTTGAAAAGTATTCTTTAAAAAATCCACGCCTTCTATAGGCCCTTGAAAAGTATTCTTTAAAAAATCCACGCCTTCTATAGGCCCTTGAAAAGTATTCTTTTTGATCAACAAATTAAAAATATATCAAAATAGATGTGGGTACAACGCAAATAGCTGTTAAACAATTAATTTAATTAACCAAAAAAAAAAACATTTGAACCAAAAATTTACTTTGCTGACCACATCAAAAAACCATCACTCAAAAATCAACAGAAGAAAAAAAAAATCAAATGCATTTCACTATTGTGTATTGGGTTTAAATGTCAAGGTCATTTGAGATATTTCAATTAAGATTTACCACAGTTCAACACTCACTTCAATTCATATTCAGATCAAAATTAATTAAACTAACGACGTACTTGGTTAATACAGTAAAGGAATTCAAAAACAATTAAGGAAAAAACATTAAACAAAAATAAATTCTCAACTCAAAATTTTTGGGTTAGGTTTTTATTTTTCGGCGTTTAAAAAAAAGATAGACTAGATTAAATGAATGGTTTGTTATGAATAAATTTTGGAAACAACTACGCTTTGCTTTGATCTAGTCATTAAATGTGGCCCACACCCTCATATCCAATGGTGATTGTACTGCTGCAGAAACAGCAATGATCTGTAGATCATTGTCTATGAGAGGGACATGCATCATTACCAATTCACGTTCCTGGTTCTTCTAACATCCGATACAATGAAATATGCATTGCAAAGAGATTTTTGTGTTGGTCTATTTTGATTTTGAATATGAATCATTTTAATTGTTATTAAATAAATTTATGTAAAATTAAATCGAAATAGATGTTGAATATTGAAATACATAGTAATTTACAAAATATTATTCATAAACGGAACAATGACATGAATCATTTTATTGTGGCTATATTCCGTTGGGAAAGAATGGTCCACGACATTTGACAGCAGACTAACTTATGTGAAATGAAAATGATGTCGAATAAGGGACCTACTTCAAATGTTTAGTGAATATTGATAATTTTTGGTATGAAGAAATTCTACCTCTGTTGAAAATTGTGCCCACGGCTTATATAGGTCCTTGAAAATATTCTTTAAAAAATTCAAAACCTGTGTAGGTCCCTGAACATAACCTTCTGAAAAATATTTAAAAAAATCTTAATAAATCCTCACCTTCATCAGGTCATTGAAAAATATTTTTTTTTATTTAAATCCACACCTTTTATAGAACCTTACAATTATTCTTTAAAAAATCCAAGGCTTCTCCACATCCTTGAATTAGACCTTGAAAAAAATGAAATTAATTTAAAGCCACGCCTTCTATAGGCTCTTGAAAAGCTTTTTTTAAATCCACGCCTTCTATAGGCTCTTAAAAAAACTATTTTTAAATCCACGCCTTCTATAGGCTCTTGAAAAGGCATTTTTAAATCCACGGCTTCTATAGGCTCTTGGAAAACTATTTATTAAATCTAATTATAAAAACCAGTATGGAAAGTAGTTAAGTCGGACGGGGCCGACTGTATGATACCCTTCACCACTTTGGGAATATTCAACAGATGAATCCTAACAGACGTCGCATTTTTTAAAGGACCAGTAAAATGAAATTGGATCCATAAATATGTCATTCTGCAACCGATACTAAATTTTTCATTTGGTCAGATATAGAAGCTATATCTAAATCTGAACAGATTTCACGAAATTTGGTACACATCATTCCAGACTCAATTCAGTACGCCATGCCAAATTTCGTGCACATCGTAATATATATGTAGGGACTTTGGTACACTACACACCTATCAGGAAACTTAACACACATCATTGTAAACCTAATTTATTACGCTGTGCCAAATTTCGTGCAAATCAAAAGCTATTAAGGGACTTTGGTGCACCATTTACATTAAATCGGACGAAAATATATATGGGAGCTATATCTAAATCTGAACCGATTTTTAGGAAACTTAACACACATCACTCAATACCAAATTCATTACGCTGTGCCAAATTTCGTGCAAATCGAAAGCTATTAAGGGACTTTGGTGCATCGTTTACATTAAATCGGAGGAAAATATATATGGGAGCAATATCTAAATGTAAACCGATTTTTAGGAAACTTAACATACATCATTCTAGACCTAATTCATTATGCTGTGCCAAATTTCGTGCAAATCAAAAGCTATTAAGGGACTTTGGTGCACCATTTACATTAAATCGGACGAAAATATATATGGGAGCTATATCTAAATCTGAACCGATTTTCAGGAAACTTAACACACATTACTCAATACCTAATTCATTACGCTGTGCCAAATTTTCTTGCTAATCGAAGGAAATATATGCCAAATTTCTGTGCGAAAATACATATGGAAGCTATATATCTGAAGGGGCTTAACACACATCATTCTAGACCTAATTCATTATGCTGTGCCAAATTTCGTGCAAATCGAAAGATATTAAAGGACTTTGATGGAGCATTTATATTAATTCGGAGGAAAATATATCTGGGAGCTATATATAAATTTGAACCGATTTTCACGAAATTCAACACACTT